TGATATATACAAGTCGATAGTGCCCGAAACGTGAGTCACACGAGGCTTTGAGATCTGTGCTATCGGGAAGGCTTCCTAAGAAGTTCATGAGGAAAAGGAGGGAAGAGCTCAGAGGAGCAGACCCTGGGGCAGGGAGGAGACTGCTAGGAGACGGGAGAGGAAGGAAAAGTGTGGAGATGAGACTGGAGGACAGGCTTGCCAATCTTACTTAAAGACTTCCCGGCTTAGCATCATCAGGAAGTGCAGAGGACTGAAGACACAGCTCAGCAGCTAAGAGAACTTGGCTGCTCATCTAGTGAACCTGGGGTTCAGTTCTCAGCACCCACAAGACAGCTCCAAATCATCTGCAGTGCAGTTCCAGGGAAATCCAACACCCTCCCATGGCCTCCAAGGGCACTGCTCACACATGATGCAAACACACAGGCAGGCAAAACGCCCACATACATAGTCAAATGGGTAGAGAAGCTCTTGGTCCAGTGTTTGGTGCTTTGGAGACACTGCCCTAAGGTCATGCTAGGCCAGCATTCTACCTCTGAGCTATATTCATAGTCCTGCTTTTACTTTTATTTTGAGATGAAGTCTCATAAAGTTGATCAGACTTGAACTCACTGAGTTTGGCCTGTAGAACCCACATGGTGGAAGGAGAGAAATAACCTCCTGCAAGTTGACCTGTGACCTCCATTTGCAAGCTATGGCATATGTTCATGAGTGTACACACACACACACACACAAATAAATGTAATTTAAAAAAAAAACCTTTCAGTTCTTCATTGCTTTTGAGAAAGGCTTAGTAATGTAGCCCAAGCTAGTCTTTTAAGAAAGGGCTTAGTAATGTAGCCCAAGCTAGTCTTTTAAGAAAGGGCTTAGTAATGTAGCCCAGGCTAGTCTTTTGAGAAAGGGCTTTCTAACATAGCCCAGGCTAGTCTTGAACTCAAGATCTACTTTAGTCTTCCAAGCCTGGGGTTACAGAAATATACCACCATGCCTAACTTTCCAGTGCTCCTTTATGTGGATAGATGCAAATAAAATGCATATTTTGTTCTTTGCTTTCTTCCTCACACACAGGACAGTATTCAATATAGTCTATTCTATTTTTTCACTCCTTATACAAAATGCATTCAGTTCAACTTCAAAAGTTCCCATAGTCTATCACAGTTTCAACATTGTTTTAAAGTCCATGTTCAAGATTTCTTCTGAGACTCAAGGCACTCTCTTAAGAGTTACAGTTAACTGTAAATCCCATAAAATCAAAATAAAAAAACAGATGACATACTTCCAACATACAATGATACAGAATGTACATTACCATCCCAAAAAGGAGTAAAGGAAGCACAGTGAGGAAATACTGGACCAATACAAGACTGAAACTTAGCAGGGCAAACTCCTCTGCATCCCCATGTCTGATATCTAAGGTCCCCAACTCCTTTCAGCTTTGTTGACTGTAGCATGTTTCTCTGTCCTGGCCTGGTTCCACATCTGACCTGCAGCTCTCCTTGGCAGGTATCCCACAACTCTGGCTTCTCCAACATCCTGGAGTCTCCAACACAGTCCAGCTGGATCACAGATTTACACAATGACCTCTGTGGGTCTCATGTAGCGACTTTTCTTTGCTGAGAAGGGAGTGTCCACAACCCCTTTCATGTATCCTTGCCACAGTAGCAGAACCTTGTAGCTAAAGCTGCCAATTCAGCTGCTTGTTAGGGCTGTGCCTCGCCCCCTCCTTCAGTTACATCTGCATCAGCTTTCTGCCGGCAGCTTCCATCCCTGCAGAATCTTTCCTTCATTACTTTTCACAAATTGGGAGGGAGCGTAGTGAGCAGGTCTTGCCCTAAGGTCACCACACCCTTTAGCCTCAGGCTCTTTAACCATTTTATCTCCTTGTGCAATGAACTCCATCGTACTTTCTGGTACTCCTTTTATCCTCAAACTGTACATTTTGCATTTTTCTCTGCTCTGTTTCATATAGATTTGTATAAGAGTGGTTACTAATAACCACATGACACAGTCAATGCCAGGCTGTCTTGAAATCTCCTCTGACAGCACCAGTGACAAAACTCTTCAGCTTATCCTCAGGTAGATTTTTAGGATGAGAGGGAAAAGCAGCCACACTTCTTACCACAATATCACAAGACTGTCTCTAGCCTACTTACTACTCTCCTTCCCTACAAACCTTCATAAACCCAGCTGTCATACTCTCCACTGCTCTCAGACCGCTGTCTTCTGTAATACTACTAGTGTGGTCCATTAGGCCCTGCTTAAACGTTCAACTGCTTTCCTAATCCAGAATCCCAAAGTCTGCATTCTGCCAGGAAGCAGCTTGGTCAGGCTGCTTACAGCAATTATCTCAATGTCTGTTTTAGTCACTGTTCTATTGCTATGAAGGGACAACATGACCAAGGCAGCTCTTATAAAAGAAAACATTTAATTTGGGGCTAGCTTACACTTTCAAAGCTTTAGTCCATTGTTATCATCATGGCAGAGAACATGACAGCATGCACATAGACACTAGAACAGTAGCTGAGAGTGACATACTGACACACAGAGAGAGAAAAGAGAGGAGGGGCACTCTGGGCTTACCTTGGACTTTTGAAACCTCAAAACACACCCCCCAGTGACAGTGCCACTCCTGGTGCCCTAGCATTCAAATCTATGAGACTGTAAGGGACATTCTTATTCAAACCACCACAATTACATAGGCAAGTTCCTCATTCTCTTAACAGCTGTGGCCATTGCATTTGGCCAGTCCCATTTCTGGACACTTTGGCTGACTCTCACTTTTCATCTTTACAGACAGTGATACAGTCGATAACTTGAAAGCACATTCCTTTACATAGTACAAGGGTAGCTGCAGAAGGGAGTCCCTCCATGCAGTTGCTGAGTGAAAGGTGCATTCTGTAACTTTCGTAGACACTGCCAGACACCCTTCCGTAGGCAAGCATGCCCTTTAGTACAGTTGACTTTGGAAACTGTCTGTTTTCCCTTTAAAAGTCATCTGCATAAGCCTCCTATGACTGAATGAGGGCTACCCATCCTGCTCTGGATCAGACACCCGGATGCAATGAACGAGGAAAAGATAAGCTTAAAATATGCATGCAGTGACAGTTCCAGGAGAACTGAGGAGCTGGGCTGGGGGCTGCTGGCTTATCGCCAAGGATGAGGACATGACCCTATGGACACAGGGCTTCTCCCTGGCTGCCTGACCTCTGACAAAGAAAGAGTGCCATCTGACAGACATGGGCTTGGGCCACTCTGGCTTGGAAAGCTTGAGCTGTAGATGGTAGAACAGGGCTGGTTTAGGAAGTCCCAGGCAGAGAGTGTGATCAGAAAGTGCACTCTGGATTAGGGCTTGGCAATATTGGCCTCGGGGAGCTTTTGCTATGTTATACCTTGGAAAATGGAGTATTCTTATAAATGCATGATAAAAGAGGGAAAATTCTCCCCTCTGTGCAACCCAGCTGTCTATGCTGTGTGTCACTTAGTGGTACTTTCTACTCTGTGAGAAACTACCCGGCCACAGGGAAGTGTTCTGCATTAATAATGAGTCCAGAATGTGCCCAGAGAAATAAGTCACACCCAGAGCAAGCCAGAGCACCTAGCTCTGCTTAGAATCTCCTCTGCAGTTAAATTTTCAGTCTGCGTCATTTCCCCATTGTTCAAGCATTCTGGCAGAGTTCCTGCTCAAAGAAAGGCAAAGTTCCCTTTGTGTCTGAAAGCCTAGCAGATGGTAATGCTGTGTAGTTGGGGAAAGTCATGGGCTTCATTATAAAAAATATCGTTTTTAACCTGGTTCCCCCGTTTATTAGCAAGTGGTCTTGGCGAGCTGTAACAAGCCTTCCTCAATTTTAATTTCTCTTGCTGGTAAATGAGAATAATACTGGATCCCTTAACTAGCCTACAGGATGTAGTTCTGAGAACTTTCATTCTCTGAAAAATGCTGCAATGCTGCATGACAAAAACAAAGTTGATGGCCTCTTCCTGTTGTAACCCCTGCCAGGCCCTTTCCCGCTTTGGTGCACACCCTCTGGGGAAATCCTGCTCATTTTCTAAAAGGCTGGGTTAGCTTTTGGTTAACGGTATGGTTCTCATAAAATCTTACTGTGCCCCATAGGGCTGGAGAGATGGCTTGTCAGTTAAGAACACTGGCTGAGCCGGGTAGTGGTGGCACACGCCTTTAATCCCAGCACTTGGGAGGCAGAGGCAGGCGGATTTCTGAGTTCGAGGCCAGCCTGGCCTGCAGAGTGAGTTCCAGGATAGCCAGGGCTACACAGAGAAACTCTGTCTCAAAAAACCAAAAAAAAAAAAAAAACACTGGCTGCTCTTCCAGAGGTCCTGAGTTCAATTCCCAGCAACCAACCACATGGTGACTCACAACCATCTATAAGGGTATCTGTTGCCCTCTTCTGACATGTGGGTGTACATGCAGCCAAGCACATAAATAGTAAATAAATGAATAAATAAACAAATAAATAAATAAATAAATAAAATGCAGCCAAGCACTCATACATTAAATTAATTAATTTGTTTTTAAATGTCACTGCCACCCAGCCTATAAAATAAAATGCTATATTTCAAGAGGTCAATCTGGTGATCTCACATTTATCCTTGACTCTTGCCCTAGCCATGTGAAGGTAGACTCTTCATTTCAGTTGTTTGAAAGGACAGGAGTTGACACAAAATTGCCCTTCAGATGAACATTATTAGGAGAGATCCTCAAAACTATGGGCAGCTGTGATGAGGCTATGACACGGGAGACTAGTAGCAGGCACAGCCACACCAGAGGAAAGAAGCTGATTTGAGAGAGTCCTCGATTCTAAAGAACAAATGTATGTGCTTTGTATATATTAGGAATTTTTGCTCATAGATACTTTCTATCATGAAATGAACTATGTGAAAAAAGACACTGTTTTCATTTAAGATATCTGAAACATCTTTTAGAAATGACTAGGGCACTATTCATTTCTCTATGAATAATTTTCTTCCATTTCTGTAATTCCAATAAGAACTGGACTCGTGTGCTTTGGGGGACCATGGCTGTGAACATTCATGTGTAAGCAGTGCAGATTCATTTGTGTGTCAGTGCTTTGAGGGATACATCCTTCGTGAGGATGGGAAGACCTGCAGAAGTAAGTTTGCTAGAGCTAGCTCATCCAGCCATGCCTGAGATCTACCATGGCGGCTTTGGGGTGAGCCAATTACTTTCAACAGCTAACAGCACATAGTCAAATGTCATGTGTTATCCTTGGTGGGAGCCTGGAACAGAAGAGGGGTGCCGTGTAATAACGAAGTAACTATAACTATGTGATTTACTAAATCATAACTTGTCGAGCCAGGTGTGGTGTTACGTACTTTGATTCCCATTACTCGGGAGTCAGAGGTAGGTGGGTCTCTGTGGATTCAAGCCCTGTCTAGTCTACATAGTAAGTTCTAGGCTGCCCTACATAGTGACACTCTCGCTCAACAACAGCAACATACTAAGCTGGGCCTGGTGGTTTACTACTATAATCCTGGCTACTTAGAAAGCTGAAGCAAGCCGGGCAGTGGTGGTGCACACCTTTAATCCCAGCACTTGGGAGGCAGAGGCAGGTAGATTTCTAAGTTTGAGGCCAGTCTGGTCTACAGAGTGAGTTCCAGGACAGCCAGGGCTAGACAGAAAAACCTTGTCTTGGGAGAAAAAAAGAAAAAGAAAAAGAAAGTTGAAGCAAGAGCATGGCAAATTCAGACTTCCTGGGCAGCAGGCTATCCTGGACAACTTAGTAAGACACTGACTCAAAATACAAAAAACAAAAACAGAGGGCTGGAGAGATGGCTTAGTGATGAAGAACATGTGGAACCTTCCAGAGGACATGAATTCAGTTCCTAGCACCCAAGCAGGTGGCTTACAGGCTCTTGTAACTCCAGCTCCAGGGGATCTGACACCCTCCCTCGCTTTTGAAGGCAACTGCACTCATGTACACATATCCATACACAGACACATAAGTAAAAATATAAATAAATAAATGTGCTAAGGATGCAGCTTAGTGGTAGAGCACTTTCCAAGCATACATAAGGCTCTGTCCCTAAAACCCCAATAACAACAATAACAATCAAAGAGCAGTGTGCACATCTGGGCAAATGGATCTCATCTCTGTCAGTCATCTTCTCTGACTTCTCAAAACTCTTTCCAAAGAGCTTTGAAGGAAAGATGAGTCGTTACTCTCATTTTCAGACAGGAAAGCTAAGATTCTAAGAGGTTATGTGATTTTCCTAAATCATAGATTATGCAGGGACAAAGGCAAGATCAGCTCCCAGTGCTAGCAATTTAAAAGAAAGCTCTCCCCTACGTAATCTCACCAACAACCCCTTCCCATGATACCAGAGGCCATGCTGCAGACAGGTGGGGCTGGATTGCATCCTGAGACACTGAAGTTGGTGCTGGAAGTTGGAGGGGGTATGGCAGTGGGAATGTTTGAAGACTGAGGTCAATCCAGAGCCACCAAACTTCACCCGCCTTCAGCTTCCTACTCAAGCAAGTCCAGAGCCCAGATAGATCTTCCAGAGGGGAGTCCACATAGACTTTCTGTTGATGCTGTTGTTTTAATCACTACTCTCCTCAGGGAAAGATGTCTGCCAGGCTGTAGACCATGGCTGTGAGCACCTTTGTGTGAACAATGGCGAGTCATACATCTGCAAGTGCCTGGAGGGATTCAGGCTGGCTGAGGATGGGAAGCGCTGCAGGAGTAAGTAGCTGGAGAGAGCAAGCCTGCATATGGGACTCTGGGCACAGCTCTTCACTGGATCTTCAGACTCTTCCTTTGTAGAATTCCTAACCATGTCACAAACTCGGATTCCAACTCTGGGTGCTGGGATCCAGCCAGCTGACTCTGGGCTCTTCAGGAATTTCTCGGTGGCTCTTCGTTCTGTTTTCTCTCAGCTCTTGCTTGGTGGTTGGGTGGCTGCACAGGGTGTAGTGTAGGGCCTAGCAGGCCAACAGGCAAAGCTAGACTCATTGGTAGCAATTGACTACCAGGGCAAGATAATTTCCGTGCTTTTCCTTCTTGCCAGACTATCTATGTAAGGTGAGGGTAGGAGAAGGGCTGGAGGAGGAGGCTCTGTGGATTTTTAAGGGGGAAACAAAATCCAAACAAACAACAACAACAACAAAAAAGCCCTACCATTTGCTTCTCTAGACCAGGTTTCTCGAACAGAATTTCATTAGAAAGTTTAGGAGGGATCTCAGAGATGGCTGAGTTGGTAAAGAGCTTGCTGTGTAGGCATCGGGACGCAAGGCCATTCCCAGTGCCGTGTGAAAGCAAGTGTGATGGAGTACACCTGTCACCTCAGTGTGGGGAGGCGAACTGGAGAATCCCAGAAGCTTGCTGGCCAGCCAGTTTAGTTGATTTGGTGAGCTGTAGGCTCAGAGAGAGACCTAGTCTCAAGAAATAAGGTGGATAGTGACTGAGGAAGACACTGACCTCTGACCCCCACAAACACATACAAACATGTGTGAGTGCACACAGACACATAGACTCATGCTAGGAGAATTCTCCAGAAAAATAGATAACAGCAGAGGAATATGTGCATACATTGTTGATAAAGAGGGAGAAAAGGAAAGGGAAACTGACTTGAAGGAATTGGCTCATGAGACGGTGAGGGCTGGTGAGGAGGATGTCCAGAGGGTAGGCTGGGAACCGAGAAAGAGCTAAACTTAGAGGTGAAGAGAGTCTTCCCTTTGTCTGGGAATCCTAGCCTGCTCTGAAGGCCTTCGCGTGACTAGATTTGGCCCACATACACTAGTCTGCTTTACTCAGAATCTGCTGATTTAAATGTTAACCTCATGTACAAGGTACCTTCACAGCAACTTCTAGACCTGCGCTTGACAAAACAAAACAAAAAGCTGGCACCATAGCCAGCCAAAGTTTACATAAAATTAGCAGTTCCGCTACTCAAGAGAGAGCAGCTCAGTGAAGTGGGGGTTAGGATACAAGTATAGACTTTCTTCCCTTTCTAGATGGTAGTCCTCTTTTGGGGGTGGTGTTGATAATAACTATGTGGTTTTTTTGACTCTGCTGTAATGGGCAGAATGATCCTTTCTTGGTTAAACAAAGTTTGGTTAATCAAGTTCATTTGGTTTTGAGGTTGCTTTGTGGGCAGTTTCCTCACAGACTCCTTGAGAGCATGGGGCATTACATGTGTCAGCAAAGCTGAGTAGAGAACTTATTAGCACCGTTCTTCTCCAGGAGCAGGGCTTGTGTCTGGTGAGAGGCTCTGTGAGTGCATTTGGTCCCTGGCTGGCCTTTGCCAGCCCTTTCTGCACTGTCTGGCCTTCTAGCTGCATACTACAGTCCTTCTTTCATGGAGATCATGCTTTGGTCCTGTCCACATATCAGCCTGAGCCAGTTTTTCTATTCATTTAACATATGTATCTGTCAATACACTGAACAGCTGTGTACAAGGCACTATTTCTAGCCTTACAATTTGATCCCTAAATTAAATCCCACAGTTTCCCACTTCCTAGAGATATCTATAGTTACAGACTCCAATTTCATGTAAGGTTTCTCCTTTTAAAGGAGGCTCAGGGGTATCATACAATTAGAAAGTAAAGACTTGGGGTTGATGGCCTCAACTGGGCCATCCCATGGCCAGTAAAACACATGGCATCCATTCTTTCATTTATTCTGTGTGTGTACCTAGCCACACCCCTAGGGTGTTGTTAGGATTAAAGGGCCATTAATTACTTCAAAAAGTTCAAATTACCTCACCGTGAGAAATGCTCATTAGACCATCAGCATGGGGTATCTGGGATCTCTACTAAGAAATATGAAGCTAACACCTATATAGCCATTCTAAAATCAAATGACAAATCCACCAGGGCCAATAGGGTCAAGAGAGCTCTGAGGGGAACTGGTCCTTGATCTTGGCCTGTTCTGGCATGGACTGCAAAGGTGATCGTTTTAGCAAAGATGTGTTCTTTAAGATGGATTACTTCCTTACCCTCCCCTGGCATGACTGTTCTCGATGGCTTCTTTCTACAATAATGGGTGGTTCATCTCCCCACGTTTTCCCCAGGGAAGGATGTCTGCAAGTCAACCGAGCATGGCTGTGAGCATACCTGTGTGAACAATGGGAATTCCTATCTGTGCAGGTGCTCAGAGGGCTTTGTCCTAGCTGAGGATGGAAGGCGCTGCAAGCGTAAGTGACCAGAACCGGCCTGCTGCTTCCATTTGGTTTTGGAGCAATGGCTTTTTGGAGCATTTTCTGGCAGTAGACCCCTTAGACCTCCGTCTCCCATAAACATAGATGTGTATGTAGACAGCAGCAACACCAGCCAGAATGGCATTGATTTAGTAGATAGTACATACAATGGCTGGTTCTGTTCTGTAAGCAAAGAGTGTATACAGGGAGTGGCTTGTACATTTACTCCAGTACCCCTGACATCTGCTGGGGAGCCATATGCATGACATCTGAGTCTTTTCTGATTTCCTTTCTATGATGAATCAATAGACTGAGTAGTGAGGACAAGCATTTAATGAAGAAAGAGAACCCCTGGGGCTGGAGAGTTAGCTCAGGGGTTACAAACACTATCTGTTCTTTCAAAGGACCTGGGTTCAATTCCCAACATCCAATATGGCAGCTCACAGCTGTCTGTGGGTCCAGCTCCAGAAGATCTGAGGCATATACATGAGGCACTCATACACATAAAACAAAATACAATTTAAAAAAAGAGTGAGAACTCAACCCCCAACTGCCATACACACACACACACACACACACACACACACACACACACACACACACACGGGAGCACTCGCATTAGCATTTTCTGCTGGCCAGGCATAGAAGTATTCTTGCATATGTATGTCTTTACTTGCTTTATTATTGTACTTCACTTTGAAAGATTAGACAGCTGCTCAATCTATATAAAAGAGAATATTATAATAACATACTGTAGACTGTTTGAAATGAGGTCATCCATTTGGAATCGGTACAATTCTCTTATGCAGCCCTACATACAGAGTCTCTTAACATCTGAATTGCCTGTGTATTTATGTAAAGCTTTTCTTTTTATTGTTAACCATCTAAGTTTCCCAAAAGGCTTTTTTCTTTAAAGTTACATTTTTAAGTCTTAATAGGTCAGTAGGATACTTATACATGTGCTACCAAATAGATACTACCGAGTTCTCTATTCTGTCAGTAATAATAAATAGAACACCTATTGTGTGCCAAACATTATGGGTCCAAACGTAAAAACCACTTAGTATCTACTGAAGGAGAATTCAGACTAGGAGAGAAAGACACATTGTTAATTAATTATCACATGAATACAGCATAGGACACATTGGATTTAAGCAAAATGGTATTAGACATTTTGTGTTAGTCATTATCATAATCCTGTGTCCACTGCCTTGCACAAAACAGATACCCAATACATTGATCTCAGTTGAATAAATTAATGTGTTAGGGTTTGCAGAGAGTAGCTGACACAGCTGGGTTACTGTGTAAGCTTCTTGGAAAAGGTAATGGCTGAGGAGAAACTAAACATCTTCTACTGTCAGTCAAAACATTAGCACTGTGTATCTCAGCCTCCCACAACAAAGCCAAAGGAACAACCGTGGTCTAGCCTAATACAGTGGTTCTCAACCTATGGGTCATGACTCCTTTGGGGGTTGGCAGAGCTTTGCAATTCATAGCAGTAGCAAAATTACAGTTATGAAAATAATTTTGGCCGTGCAGTGGTGGCACACGCCTTTAATCCCAGCACTTGGGAGGCAGAAGCAGGTGAATTTCTGAGTTCAAGGCCCGACTGGTCTATAGAGTGAGTTCCAGGACAGCCAGGGCTATACAGAGAAACCCTGTCTCAAAAAAAAAAAAAAAGAATAAAAAATAAATAAATATAAATAAATAAAACTTTATGGTTGGGGTCACATTAAGAAGGTTGAGGACCACTGGTCTAATCCTTTACCGCACTCTGTGTACAGTAAAGGCCTTGGTGCCAGTAATCAGTGTGTGATTTCCTTTACAATATGTGTAGATTGTATAGCTTAGCTAGGAAAATTACTGCTATTAATAATTTGTAACTCAAACATAAAAGTGTATCTGGAAAAACTAGTATTTGTGATATCCCCCACTTGTCTATCCTGTGTGCTAGCTGAAGAACAAACAAACAAACAACAACAACAAAGCTCTCTAAATTCACCTATGCCTCCTACTGAAGCATGCTTTTTTATACTTTGTATATACATGATCTCTAACTTTTTAACCCTGTTAACCTTTCCTTTCATTACTGTAGGATGTACTGAAGGCCCAATTGACCTAGTCTTTGTGATTGATGGATCCAAGAGCCTTGGAGAAGAGAATTTTGAGATTGTGAAGCATTTTGTCACTGGGATCATAGATTCCTTGGCAGTTTCCCCCAAAGCTGCTCGTGTGGGGCTGCTGCAGTATTCCACACAGGTCCGCACAGAGTTTACTCTGAAGGGCTTCAGCTCAGCCAAGGACATGAAGAAAGCCGTGGCCCACATGAAATACATGGGCAAAGGCTCTATGACTGGGCTAGCCCTCAAACACATGTTTGAGAGAAGTTTTACTCAAGTAGAAGGGGCCAGGCCCCTCTCCACACGGGTGCCCAGAGTAGCCATTGTGTTCACCGACGGACGGGCTCAGGATGATGTCTCCGAATGGGCCAGCAAAGCCAAGGCCAATGGTAAAATGGGATGGAGTTGTGGTTTATATTACTCAAAGTTTGGATCCCTTAAATTCACAGCTGGTCTTAGGAATCAGAGCGAGCAATCAGTAATTGCTGGCTAAGCCATTAAAAATACACCTTGGCAATACTGCCACCTACAGGCCATAATGGGGCCCTAGAGATGCTAAATAAAATGCTCCTCACAGCCTGGGTAATAGGATTTTCAGCCTAGCCAAGTATGTGACTTTCAGTAAAGACAATCACCTCAGCAGGTGTTTCAATGCCCTGGTGGTATGTTTCCTCCAGAGTCACCTGAAGAATTTTTTTTTAAAAGATGAATTTCTGGTGGCAACTTTACTGACACAAGTATACTTTTAAAATTTATTTTTATGTTCATGTGTTGGTGTTTTGCCTACATGTATTAAGACATCACCCCTGCCCCAAGACTTTTTTAAAAAATGGAGAAGAAAGGAGAGAGGAGGAAGGGATGGAGCACGGGGGGGGGGGGGGGGCAAGATTCTCTTTCTAGCTCAGGTTGGCCTGAAACACACTGTGTAGCACAGAATATCTTCAAACTTTTTTCCTCAGCCTCCCTAGTACTTAGAGTACAAGCCAACACATGAATAGAGTTTTGGTCAAGCCTTTAAGTGAATACTCTGAAGACATGAAATCTTTAGATAGAGACCTGTGTTGGCAGAAACCTGGCTTTTGAAAAGAACAAAGCTGGGTGGGTCCAGCTTTGGGTGGGTAAGTTCCTAATGTTGCATAAAGCTCAATCGATTCTCTGGGGGTTTCCTGACTGTGTATTCTGCAGGGTGGGTCTGAAGGGTGACTTTATTTGCATAGATAGGGAAGAGTGAGGCCTTTGATGGATATTATAGCCAGTTCCTGATGGTTATATATGAGTTTCCTCTGGTGAGATGAGAAGACATATGCTCATATGGTCATAAAGCAGTCTGCTTCCAGCCAAACTCCTTCAAGTGCTGAAGGCACACTGCTAAGAATGAACACAGTCCCACTGGAGAATTTGTGCCTAAATGGGCCAGGTGCATAGATGATTGACATCTGCTCAGTCTATAAAAACAGGGGTGTACTCTGAGTTCTACTGGCAAACCCCATCCTCCCTCACAGAACAGCTGATAGTTTCCTAACAGTTTATTTTTTAATCAAAGAGTCCATTTTATAGACTTTTCTTACCCCAATGTTCAATCTTTCCCTGCCCAAGAGTGAGGGAACCATTAGAGGTGTCTATCCCTGGGATCATCTGAGTAGTTTGTAAAACTGGTTGTTCACTCTAGACTAGCTTGCTAGAGCTCAAGTATAACCCATAAGCCCTGCTAGCCTGTATTCTTAAAAAGCACTAGGGAAGACTCTCTTCCTCCCAAAACAGTGATTAGCCTTTTATTACACTCATTGGAACTAGCCCACTTTACACCTCCACATGCAAACTGCTTCAGATTACCCAAAGGCAGCTAGTGGAAGCAGATATTTAGTTCTTGAATCATCTAGGCTTATCCAAAATGACGTTCTCTTAATGAATTCAGTTTCTCTGGGTATGGCTACTATGACCTTGAACTAGCAGTTTTCCTTTTGGAGGAAACTGTCTGCAAGGTTTCTGGCTCCCAAATAGTCTGAGCTCAACTGTTGTCAACACAGACTCAGAACAAGGTGTCACCCCTGGCCACTGGCTTTAAGGGGCATTCCATAATGCACTCTTAAACCTCTAGTCTAATGGTTTGGCCAGAATAAGAAACCAGTGTTGAAAATTGTTGGAAGCCGAGCAGAGCTCAATTGCTTATTTCTCTTTCAAATGAGGGAATGAAGTCTACAGACTAAATTTAGAGAAGGTTTTAACTTCATATCCCCCTTTGAAATCTCAGGAAGATATTTTAACTTTCTTCTTCATCCTAACTGGGAATTCCAGTAGTCTGCAGACTCACTTCTTAGCTTTTCCTTTCTGTCCGAGACAATGCCTCAAGCCACCAAGAGAGGTGAGCAGAAGGCAGATCCACTTGATCCCAAGACAGCTAGGATTCTTCTCATTTCCTTTTGAGGTTAAATCATCCAAGCACTCAGAAGGCTGAGGCAGGGGGATAACAGCCCAGGCTCCAGGCCAGCCTTAGCTATACGGTAAGGGCCTATTTTGTTTATAAACTAATGTTATAAATTAACTTGCCTAGAATTTTCCCAGAAAACTCCATTTTACCAAGCTGTGAGACTTTTTCCTACTGTCCAGAGGCCAATTCAGGAGAAAGCTGCACACTATGTTACTTGACCCTCTCAAGAGTTAATAAATCTGTGCCTTAACTGTCTACCCCCTTCTAAAAGCTGCATCTCTAGGATCCTTTGTTGATAGGTCCAAAATAAAAATGCTAGAAACTATATAGGGGTTGTTGGTATAGATGCTTCAAAACCACAACTTAATATCTTACTTTGGGCACAGCACAATGTCCAGACCATGGGAAGGCAATGGTATCTTATTCTAATTTCTGGCGCTTAGGTATCACTATGTATGCTGTTGGGGTAGGAAAAGCCATTGAGGAAGAACTACAGGAGATTGCCTCTGAGCCCACTGACAAGCATCTCTTCTACGCAGAAGACTTCAGCACGATGGGTGAAATCAGTGAGAAGCTGAAGCAAGGCATCTGTGAAGGTATTGATTGTACAATGTGCCTAGGGTAGACCTTAGCCTCTGGGCAGCATGGCCAGTGGAGAAAAATCCTCAAGCCATTTCTTCAGAGCTCAGAAAAATGCCTCCCTGCTGACCAAGACAAGTGATACCTAAAGACACTGAATGGAGAGGGGAAGACAAACGTGAGAGCTCCCATGTCTTGCTGTACCAAACAGCATACTAAACATTTTTTTTGTATGAGTGTTCTATGTGCATGTACTACTACATGCCAGAAGAGGGCATCAGATCCCATTCCAGATGGTTGTGAATCACTATGTAGTTGCTGGGAATTGAACTCAGGACCTCTGGAAGAGCAGCCAGTGCTCTTAACTACTGAGCCATCTCTCCAGCCCCCATTCTAAATGTTTTAATATACTAGTCTTAACTCTCACCAAACCCTAGAGAAGCTTAAGCAAGGAGCCATCACTAAAGAAACCAAAACATAGCTGGGCGGTGGTGGCACATGCCTTTAATCTCAGCACTTGGGCGGCAGAGACAGGCGGATTTCTGAGTTCGAGGCCAGCCTGGTCTACAGAGTGAGTTCCAGGACAGCCAGGGCTACACGGAGAAACTCTGTCTCGAAAAATCAAAAAAAAAAAAAAAAAAAAAAGAAACCAAAACATAAGTACTACTTCAGGAAATTTGTAAAGGAATGCCTGTCCTTGTGGGCTCACTGTTAGACACCTAAAGGGTACCTTCCTGCAGGGACTTCTACTTCTAGAATGACTATCCTTTAGATGGCAGACATTTAATATACTTTTCTCCAGTTCACTAATTAATCCAGTTATGTTTACATATAGTGCCTATTTTGCCTTTTAGTCACATTTTGGGTTCAGATTCCTTTAAGACCCAATTTAAATAATGCCTTATTCCTCTAAAGCAAAGAACTCTGGAGTGGAGTTCCAAGGAGAAAGCCTTCCAGATTCCCAAGGGTAGAGCATGCTTTGCTTTGTGGCTTTCATTCCTAGTGAAATGTCTCAGGTAGGTAGGGCTGCAGTGATTATACTGGGTCTTTTTAACAACGTCAACCTTTTTTTTTAACATCACCTTCCTGAAATGGCATGGGCATTCTTTAGATGTAATTTCTCTTCCGGAGAGAACTACTCTAACATAGTCAAAGATCATAATAGCCAACTGCTTTTCTGAATCCTTGGTGTTACCAAATAACACCAACAGACCCATGTGTGAAACTATTGCTCCCTTTGGCCATCTCTTTCCATTCAGCTCTAGAAGACTCTGATGGAAGACAGGACTCACCAGCCGGGGATCTGCCAAGGCAGGTCCACCAGTCAACAGGTGAGTCTTAAGGCACTGTGGTCAGTCTTACTTGGGGCTTCTGTCCCAGTTCCTCTGTAGTCATAAGTTGTAAAGTGATAGTTAAGATTTAAATGTCACCTAGGGCCCTTTTCTGACAGACAGGAAAACTTCACTGTCCCTTAAGCCATAGTTGGTAGCTACCATCTCTGCCAAGTCCTTCTGTCACAGTATGTCTCAAAGCAAAGCTCCACACCAAAGTCAGGAATACCAAACACCTTGCTTCAGCTGGTGGCTGCTTTAGACAGTAATGTGAAACAGATTTGAATACAGTTTTTTCTCTTCACAGAATCTGAGCCAGTCACTATAAGTATCAGAGACCTACTTTCCTGTTCTAATTTTGCAGTGCAACATAGGTACCTGTTTGAAGACAATCTTCCACGGTCTACACAAAAACTTTTCCACTCAACGAAATCCTCAGGTAATTCCAAGAGAACAATCACTAGGTAAGGTGCAGCAGCCTTTGAGTTTGCTCAGACTTAGATTTTAAAACTGGGAAAGAGGAAATTAACTTAAGTGCAGTAACTAAAAACTAAAGTAAAGCAGTAGCCCTGTGACCCTCAAGTACACTGCCTCCCAGTGTTTGAAGCCAACAAAGCCTTTCCCACAGTTCACTTCCCTGGATGTGGATGCATAGAAAAGACTTTATGGTTTCCTGTGTACTGATCAGTTCCATTATTGTCTGGAAAGTGTGGTGAAAGACTCTGAGGCGAACTCTTTTCATCTGCTTTCTCAGGAAACCCTTTGGAAGAAAACCAGGACCAATGCAAATGTGAAAACCTCATACTGTTCCAGAATCTTGCAAATGAAGAAGTAAGAAAACTAACCCAACGCTATATCCTTTTCCAGTCAGATGCTCTGTTGTTGAAAATATGTAATCTCAACTGGTTTTTTTGCCCTGCCTTTGATCATTGAGTTACTGGATAAAAAAACACATTCATTATGAGCCTGCATCAGCACTAGAGCTGGGCAGATACACACCTCAGTGTCAGCCAGTCCATAGGGAAAGTCAATAGGGAAATGCTTAATTCTGAACTACTCCTGTGCCAACAGGCTTACATAAGAACACAGCAACTCTCCAATAAGGGGGTGGGGTAATACTGGTCCTCCATGTGGACTAAGTCTTCCTGATGGTAGATACACAGATAAAGCTGGACTCACGTCATGGGCAGATGAGGATTAAGTGGCTTAGAGGGAAGACAAGCATTAACACTGCAGCCTCTTCCTGTCCCCTTCCCCCACTCCCCAGTTTTTAGCCTCACCATTACTTAGGAACTCACCCCCATGCCAGTCCTCTGAAGTCACACTTCACAACACTGGCTAACTAATTATAAACATTGGTGTGGATAAGTTTTTTTTTTTAATCATAAAGAAAAGTAAATTCAAATTATCTGGCTTTGATGTTTTGAAAATGAGCTTAGCATGAACTAGTCTTAAAGGTATGTTAATTACTATAAATGTACAAGGGTTTTTTTTAAATACTAGACAGCTTGATTTCAATCCTAAAGGTTTTTGTTCTGGGAACTTTTATTAGTTAAATTGTACTTGGTTGTAAGCTAAAACAGGTATTCCAGACTCTTCCTTAATTTGAGATTTACTAGAAGAAATGACTCAAAGAATGGAAGCTTTGGAAAATCGCCTAAGATACAGATGAAGACTAGAAGTGCTTTTATGTATATTTGTACACCATCATAAAAAGGATTTTGACAAAGGTAGTGGAGCCTGAAAGCTCACACCATAAGTAGATCTATAAGCTGTAAAGCAAAATACAACCAGTACAGAAGACACTGGATTGCTTGACTGCTGGACAAGAGAAAATGGAGACATTGAGGTGTCTAAATTCAATGGGGGTGGGGGAAGGAATCCCCAATTCTGAGTTTCTCATGAGAATAAATAAGCTGTGCAGTGTTCCATGATGGGCTGTGGACATGACTTCTGCCTCAACACTGAAACTGTTCATTTGACAACTCAAGTATCTGATTCAGCAGAAAACTGACTCCACAAATTGCTAATTTTTTTTTGTACTGGAATTTACCTTGATGTGTATATGGACATGTGCCATAAGGACCTATGTTCTGTAATAAATTGAATTTCTACACAATATTAAAATTCACCACTCCAGAAGAGTGTTGAGTCAACTTCCTAGTTTAACTTTGAGAAGGGCTCATGCTATTTGCTGGTTGTGACTCAGGCTGCCTCAAACCCCCAATCCTCCTGTGGCCACCTTCAGAGAACTGGGAACCAGGCCCATGCCACCAAGCATGACTCACTGTAAGTATAAACTCTGTATACATGAAAAAAGCCAATATATATAATCATGGAAAAGCAAGTTTACATCTTGTGTATTTTTTCATTTTTTAAAAAAACTCATCAGCTCAGCAAACGCACTGACTTGTGATGGTTATTAATGTGGAAATACAGGTCCTTGCATACTGCTATGGCGTACAAAACTGGCAGGCTCTGGAAAGACTTTAACTATAGCAGCTGCCATTTGAGATCAAAGCAAATAGTCTTAACATATACAAGGGGGACCAGGAGAGAATGTCACTAGTGCATGAAAGCAAGTTAGGAATAGCCTAACCATCAGAACTGATTCACCATGTAGTCTGTATCACAGAAATACTAAACGTTTACAGAAATGTCCAATATCCATGGTGAAGCCCAAAACTAAGATAATTTTTTTTAAAGTAGGATCCCAAGTATCCTCAGCTGGCCTCAAACTCACTATGTAACTGAGGATAGCCTTAAACTCTTGATCCTCTTGAGTGTTGAGGACTGCAGTCACACACCGTCACACCTGGTCTACCTGGTGCCGAGGATTGAACCTAGGGATTCATGCGGGTCAGGAAAGCACTGAGGCACATTCCAGCCCTCAGATCAATGACAGTTTAGGAAATGGGCAGACATATCTCCTTGAGTTCAAAGCCAGCCTGATCTATATACGGAGACTCTGACATCTAGCATTCTGGCAATTCTACGAATTAACATATACACAATTATCTATGCAACGATATATTAATATGCACATTAAGTGCAAGAAATGACTTCACTTCAATAATGCACTTAGCAAGAAGTAGCAGCTTTACAGAAGACAGACAAGCCACTGGATTTTAGAATATGAACCTTTTATACTCACAATACTGTAATTAAATTTATACTGATACTTCAAGTGCTTTGATTGGCATGTTCTCCCAAAGGGTAGCTGGGTGGGAGAACACTTACCAGGCTTCACGCTCAACTGCATGATTGTTTCTAGAGGACGCTTTGACTCAAAATAGATGTGCCCATTGGAAAGCATTAATTTGGATGGCACAAAGACTGAGGTATAAAGCACAGGGCTTGAAGTTGGCTGTTCTTTGTTCAACCTCCCTCTAGCTACACAAAACCATACCTACCCATCTCCTTGATGTCACATACAATACACAAGCCTGCAACCAATCCATGACATTATAGATTAGGGACTAGACAGTGCCTGCTCCTGGGTTCCCACATCAGGCAGGTGAGCTGTCACCAGCAACTCCAGCTATAAACCATCAAATGTCCTCATCAGGCGTGCATACTCACACTCAGATATGGTAAGTAAAAAGTTTGTCTTTAAAAAACAAACAAAACCCTCACAGGGCTGGGGAGGTGAGATGGCTCAGCAGCTAAGAGCACTGGCCGCTCTTCCAGAAGAGTCAGGTTCAACTTCCAAACATCCATATGGCAGCTCACAACTGCCCGTAACTCCAGAATCAGAGCATCGGACACCTTCACACAGACATGCACAGGCAAAACACAAGCGCATATAAAATAACCTTTCAAAATAATTAAGCTTGTCCAAGTCTTTCTTATCAGCCTTTTGTTTTATTTCATAATTGACACTAACCTCTTGAAGCCTGCATGTCCCCTGTAATGTGACAGTACTCTTGGCATAATGATGAGCACATACACGTCTAGCAAGTCTCAAAACATGTTTTGTATACAATTTTTTTTTGGTGGGTTAAGTGCACTTGCTGATAGCAACTATCTGTGACTCGGTTCCTGGGGACCTAAGGGCAGCACTTGGTCTCTTTGGGCACTAGGCATACACATGGTGCACTTAAATGCACGTAGGCAAAACAAATACAGATAAATAAATCTGTGCTGGAGGGATGGCTCAGCAATTAAGTGCACTTGTTTGTGCAGCTGACCCAGGATCTAGGGAATCCAATGCCCTCTATCTCCCACATTCTACAGCTAACTCCATTCATTACTAGCCAATTCTTTTTCCTTAAACACTGTTTGAGCCTATACAACGGCTTGTCTCGTAAAGAAGAGAACACCGGAATAGGTTACACTTTCTTGCTATAGCAAGCTCAAATTGTGTCAGACAGTTTTGTTCATCAGCCACAGAGTGTTGCTTGCAGTTAACATACTCCACTCCCAGCCAGTAGAGCTGTGAATTCTATTCAGCTAGCTGGAGTCCCCTGCACATTTAAAATGCCACTTTTTACCATCCCAGATTTGGGACAGTGACCTCTTCCCCTCAGTAACAGCATAATGGCACTTCTCACAGATACTGCATGAACCGCAGCAGAGTAAGGTATGTTTCCTATCATCTAGCTTTAAACTTCCCTCTGCATTTTAAACCCTTCTTGCAAACACAATGACTACACAAAAAGTATGTATACATTTAAAAAAATTATACCATATTATCACTACCTACAAAAAACAATCTAAATGCCTATAGCCAAGCCACAACACAGAAACTCCTTATATCTTAAGAAAATAAGTAGAAAATAGTTAATTTGAAAAGGAAAATCACTCAAAATAACATACAAAGTCCACAGCTTTAGTCCATCACAAATCTTGGTACACTAATGCCTCTCAAACATATCCAAAAATACAATGCAAACACCCTGAGACTAGCCTTTCTTTACAAGGAGCTGGGGCTTAGAGGCAAAGCTCTTTTTGTGCAAGCTTGAGGACTGAAGCTGAACCTCCAGCACCCATGTAAAAAAAAATGGTGGGTGCCAGCCTGCAATTCTATCATGTCACTCAGGGTGTCTGGAGATTCCCCAGAGGTAGACGGCTAGACTAGCTGGCATTGCCAAACTAAAGGTTTAAGTGAGAGACCTTGCCTCCGTATATAAAAGTGATAAAAACATCGAATGTCCTTTTGATTAAATATTAGATATTATTATACCAAAACAAATGTGTATTTCAATATTGGAAATATACACTTGGAAACACCCCTGTTCCACGAATTTTGCATAGTGATACAGTGTACAATCTTTTAACAAAACAAAACCCCAGCAAAATGGAAACCAGTAGTATAACTTTTCACCCAAGTCTTGCCTGTGGTTTCAAGAAAGCCAATCAATAGGAAGAAAACCCAAAGAGACACCGTGTTTTTTCAAAAGGAGCTCTGGCAAAGTTTTATTAAAGGAAAACTTTCTTGTTCACTTCTCACCAGTCTGCTCTGGCATGCTTCTAATAATATCAGAATCACCTGGAAAATACAAGGGTTACAAGTCATTTAACGGCAACTGAAGTTATAGAATTCCCCTACATGTTCCTTAGGTAACAAGACTGATTAGCACTATGTGCCAACAGTTGTTGGTTGTCATTCTTAAAACCTCAGCCATCCTATGATCACACAGCTCATACACATAATCAATCAGACTTGGCTTGTCACCAGCATTTAGAAAACCAGACCAAGGTAAAGAACTGGGTCTGGGGACACATGCATGGTCTTACTATAGCGAATGTCTAGCCTGTCCTGATTATCACAGAATCAGAACAGCGAGAATATTCGCAATGTTCTATATGGCAACTAAAATTTCTAAGCTCAAAACACAAGACAATGTGTATTTGCAGGCATTCACCACAAACCATTTGTTCCCGAGCAACAAAGAGATTACTTCTGATCTCGCCTAGTGTTTTCACCTTCTACCAAACTTTTCTTCCCACAGGGGTGGGGTGTGGTAAGAGAGGGAGAAGAGGGACAAAGAGCTTCACTGTGTTGCCCCAGTTGTCATGGCTAGATTAGCCTCACTTCATTAAACAAAATTTATCACATCAAAGTTAAAAAATATCTTATTTACAGAAAATCCAACTACAATGTACTGACATGCATTATCAATTCTCTGGAAAATAAGATTATAGCATATCTCTTTCAATATTAAAGTTCTAATGGTCTCAACTCAGGAACCAAAGCCACTGTCCAATAAGAAGCACTTATGTTAGAAAAAATACATAATTTTAAAAGCATACCTGGGTCAATAATAGCCAGTGTGCATACTCTGTAGTATTTTCCACAAGCTGTGCCCAGTTCAATATTATTGCCACTGTAGTGATGGACACCAGTTTTAGCCAACATGGCATAGTATTCTATTTCAGATTTCCTTGGGGAACAACAACAAAAAGTCAGATAAAATCCCATACCAAGGCACTGACAGGCTTTTTTTAAACCAGTAACTAAATCACCTCCACTTCTTCTAGCTGTCCTAATTATCATAGATCCCGCACTGTATTCATGTTTCAATTTACTAGATAAAATTAAAATGTGCAAGCTACTTAAAAACCAAAGGAAAGTTGTTAGAGAACTAGAAGAGGGTCTAACAGACATAGCAGTGGCCTGGAGATGGAGTCCACTGAGAGCTGGCACCACTCCTAAGAAAGTTCAGTCCCCAGCATTCACACCAGCTGTCTCACAATTCCAGCTCCAGGAGAATCTACCTCCCATGTCAATAACAGGTATTACGTACTCCACTTTAATGAAGAAACTAAGGCAAATAATAGGAAGGTAGAGTGGAACAGGAATTGGAGGGTCAGAAACCTAAAAAAAGTCATCTTAAACCACCTACTACATACTGAACACTACACACGGACTGTGGCACTATTACTCAGATAGACCCTTCGGTGCCAGGTTAGGGTACAAATGCTTAAGATTATCAGCAGAGCTCCAAGTGCTGACAGAGATGAATCTGAAGCCCAGCCTGGAACCACTGAGTCTGAGCTTGTAATTTAATCATGAATGTCTACACTGCTACTATAAATTGAAAAATACAATCCAACGCCCCTCAACTGAAAAGGTTTAAAGTAAGACCAAACATTCCAAACTCTACCAGTAAGTATAGACATCCTACATAAAAGACTGAAAAGGTGTACAACTGCCACAGGAAAATCAAGGGGCTTATACTACACAAGCTTCTGTAGCTTACTTAAAATACTATTAGGTTCAAGTTAAAATAGTTAATCAAGAATAAAGATACGTTTAGAAAATTTGGCCCTGCTAAATATTTGATTTTATGATACTTTCACCTCCATAATTTTTCTAAACTAAAACAGGCACATGCAATGGAGTCTTAACACTTCAAACCTACAAAGACAATCAAAAAATAGGGATGCATAAGATACGTGGGAAAAGCCTCCGTCCTTCCCTGAACCTGCGTGTTATCATTTGTACGTCTCCTGTCACACACTGTGCTTCAAAGGTACATTTACAGAAGACACACACAAAACAAGGTCCAAACATCAGGAAGCAACCATCACTAATTATTCTCCCAATGCTGGATAGTGCACAATGAACTTACAATAGGCCACACACATTCAGGGTCCTTCATTACCTCAAAGCTGGGCAGTTGTTGGCGAGGATAACCAACTTCGCTTTGCCTTGTCTGATCATCTTCAGAGTCTGTTTGTACCCCAGCACGTACTTTCCACTTTTCATAACAAGCTGGAGCCTAGAGTTGATCGACTCCAGAGACTTTTTCTACAATGCAAACATTTGAGACTTGAAAACCACTTGTAGTCATCTCAAAACCAAATTCAGTTCCAGATTTCTGGAATTGAACCCTTTAATGATGTCTGCGAAGTCACAAAGAGCCTCTTGGATTTACTTTGAGGCCCTGAAACGTCAGCGGCCTGCTGTGCACCCAGTGTGCGCAGATCTATCCGCCCCGGCCCAGACCCAACTCTCCACGTGAATCGGCTTCCGGGCCGGTCCGCTTCACTCACCGTCTTCTTTGCGGCCACCATCTTCCTGCCTTAGGTGCGAGACAGCCCCCAATCTAGCATATACAAATGACAGAAGAGAGGATTATGATCCGGAGCGCCAAACACCAACCAGCAGAGCTCCCCGAACCGTCTAATCGCCTACCCAGCAGAGCTCACTCACCAAGAGCAGCCGCCAAGATGGCCGGGGAGCGAGAAAGGAAGGAGTTCCCACAATGCAAAGCTCTTCTAGGCGGACAGAGAATCATGGGACCGGAAGCGGAAGCAGAAACAGAGCCCAGTCACAAGCGGAAGTTGGGAGAGCGGACTGCAGCAGGTGGTTGCTATGGGGACCGCGTTGAAACGGAGGCTGGGCTGCTGCGTGGGCTGGGCTGCAGCTTACGGTTTTCGACTTTGTGTTCTGCTGCTGCCGGCTGAGACCGCGGAGAACGGGAGCCCGATAGGAGCTGGCGACGACGGCCGAGGGCCCCATATGTGAGGCGGCAGCGACCAGGGTCTGGCCTCTGCTGGGCTGGTCTCCGCCTGATGTTGCTTCCGGCATGCTCCGGGCGGACCCAGACGTCGCTTTACCTGCGACTGCCCACCACGAGCGGAAGCATCTCTGTCCAGCCGCAGATCCGCCTGCTTGCCGCTCCGTGGGACGGACACACACACACACACACACACACACACACACACACACTCCCCTCTCGTGGCGGTTTCATACCGCGTACTTGGGAGCCGACTTTGCACAGGGACCACAATTAAAAAAAAAAAAATCTGCCGAGCAGTGGTGGCGCACGCCCTTAATCCCAGCACTTGCGAGGCAGAGACGGGGATTTCTGAGTTCGAGGCCAGCCTGGTCTACAGAGTGAGTTCCAGGACAGCCAGGGCTACACAGAGAAACCCTGTCTCGAAAAAAAAAAATCTAGACTCGGTGAGGTGGCTGAGCGGGTAAATGCGGTTGCCGCTAAGCAGATTAATGAGTTCCAAACCACGTGGTGGAAGGGGGGGTACCTACTCCAGCAGGTTGTTCTCTGACCTGCGCTTGGATACACACATACGTATACAGAAGTAAATAAGTCACAATACGAATACTTTTAAAATCATTTTGCTACAAAACTTGGAACGTTATATAAATGTAGCATTCAAGAAAAAAAAATTACTGGAAGCCTCCATTATTTACGCACTAACACCAACAAAAACCCGGGGCTGTTGAGATTGTTCAGTGCTTGCCTTGCAAAGCGTGAGGACCTGGATTCTATGCCTAAACACCCCCGCTCCCAAAAAAGTTCTGGCATGGCTGTGAACGCTTATAATTCCATTTCTGGAACAACCCCAAGGCTAGCTAGCTAGACAACCTGTAAGCTCCAGTTCTCAGTGAGAGATCCTGTGAAAAATAAGGTGGACAACCACCGAGTAAGCACACCAGAAATTGACCTGTGACCTCTGCCCAACTGCACAAGCACCTGTGCCACCAAACTTATATAAGCATAGGAAAGTAAAACCAGGTTAGTAAGTAAGCTGTATGGTGGGTTACTTTGCCATGGAAGTTAGGAGAGGGAAGAACAACCCTGCTTCCCCTTAATAAAAATAATTTTTAAAACATCCATGGTCTCCTGGCGGTGGTGGCACATGCCTTTAATCCCAGCACTTGGGAGGCAGAGACAGGCAGAGTTCTGAGTTCGAGGCCAGCCTGGTCTACAGAGTGAGTTCCAGGACAGCCAGGGCTACACAGAGAAACCCTGTCTCGAAAAACAAAACAAAACAAAAAATCCATCATGGTCGAAGTGGCCTATGCCTATAATCCCACCTGGGGCAGGCAATCTGTGTGAGTTGATCTTTGAAAAAAAAAAAAAAAAGTCCTAAACTAAAACACACACACCCTATGAGATAGTAACCTTGTTGTTCTCAAATTTTTACAGCTAATGTATTACAGAAGTATGAAAAGAATCAGGCCTGTAAATTAGGTAATTTTTTTAAAGTATATTCAACTGTTTCAGCCCATTTTAATGTGAATTTGACCAAACAGTAGTGTTCCATTACCATACTATTTACTTAAAATTTAGGCATAAAGTTCTTAAGATGGTACAAATCCAGATATTTTTCTTCTATTAGTCCAGTTTTGTAAACATACTAATCTTTAAATGAACTTTTTTTTTGGGGGGGGGGGTTTGGAACTCACTCTGTAGACCAGGCTAGCCTCGAATTCTCGAACTCAGAAATCCGCCTGTCTCTGCCTCCCAAGTGCTGGGATTAAAGGCGTGCGCCACCACCGCCCGGCGATATAGAACTCTTAAGTTAAAATAACTTCCAAGTTGTGTTTGGTCATGGTATTTTATCACAGAAAAAAATTCTAAGACATCACTTTTGTCCATAAAACCACTAGTGTATATATATTTTTTCCTTCAAAATAATCAGAATTACTAGATTTCCATTATAGAAAATCAAAGTTCTTTAAGTAACTTTCCTGAAACCTCATTTCCTGTACTCACCATAAGGAGAGAATCACTTTTTTTGCAGATATCTTAACTACAGTATGGTGAAATCCAATGAAACATTTTTAGAAAACTCAGCTGACCAGATTTGGCCTGCGATGGAAGATTACTGCTATCATGTCTTTTATTTTCAGATTAATTTCAGTGAAACATCTGCTGATAGGTAAGTAGGGCAAATGCAAAAAGGTATCATCAGCTTCTGGATACAGGTGGAGTGTATACAGGCATTCATTGGGAGTCAGCATTCTGTTACTTTAAAAAATATCCATACGAGCCAGGTGGTGGCAGCACAAGCCTTTCTGCTGTAAGTTCCAGGACAGTCAGGATGCACAAAGAAACCCTGTCTTGAAAAAACAAATCTCCATACTAAAACCCATGAAATTTGTGTTCTTTATGAGGATTTTACTATCCAGATGTTATTACTCCTGAATGCATCTTGGTGTCTAGCATTTCATTGTGATTTTAAAAAGAATAACATAATTACAAGAGAAGGAAATTAACACAAGACTCTTCATTGTTTTTCCTTCACCAAAATTGCCATTTCAAGCTTCTGAAAAACCAAACCAAACACAGGCACCTATATTCATGGTGTCTCCTGGGTTTTTGGTTTTTTTTGTTTGTTTTTTCCTTGCTATGAGAATTAAAAGTGACAAGCTGTATCCCTTGTTAGAGCACAAACAGTTCTAACAATCTCATCTGAAAATTGTTGCTTCAGGGCATTGGCCCTTGCTGTCCAGTGGCTGAGATGGTCGTATTAACAGTTACTTGATGGTCGCAGTGAGGCATGCATCGGAGCCTGTGGAACTCAGCCTTCAGATTCTTCCCAACATTAACCACCTGCACATTAACCATGCTGATAAATATGTTGGTAAGGAGGAATGATGAACCCAAGGAAACAGTCTCTGAAAACCTGGTGAACGACCAGTGTGCACTCGTCTGAGCATCCTAAGGGGTAAGAGAGAGTGCCAGCTACCCAGACCACTCCCATTCAACAGACTACAACTCTGAGTTGAAAGCCAGCCAGAGTAAAGCTTCCTGTCATCTGATTCTGTTTTATTTTGCCATTTTCTCTATCCAAGGTAGCATAAATTTTTATACAAAGAGCCATGTAAGAATATTTCTTTCCAGCCGGGCGGTGGTGGTGCACGCCTTTAATCCCAGTACTTGGGAGGCAGAGGCAGGCAGATTTCTGAGTTCGAGAGTTCGAGGCTAGCCTGGTCTACAGAGTGAGTTCCAGGAGAGCTAGGGCTACACAGAGAACAGAGACACCCTGTCTCGAAAAACCAAAAAAAAAAAAAAAAAAAAGGAATACTTTTTTCCTGTGTTTATTGTGGGGAGTAATTCCTTTGGAAGGTAAAGTGCTGTCTGTGTACTGGATCTCTTAAGTTTGAGGCCAGCCTAGTCTACAAAAGGAGTTCCAGTACAGACAAGTCTGCTACACAGAGAAACCCTGTCTCTGAAAATCAAAAACGTAAAATAAGAAAAGTCACAGTAGCAGTTCTGATCAGACAGTATTAAGCCAGTCATCTAACAAGACTAAAGGGGGTCAGGTGATTGTTAAGATCAGTCAGGTAGAAACATGCATTGTGTAGTTTGCAGGCTTATGAAGAAAAAACAGAAAGAAGACTAGCTAAGTAGAAAAGCAGTTTATTTTGCAGTTCAACAAATGGACAACAGCACTTGGGAGGCAGAGACAGGTGGATTTCTGAGTTCGAGGCCAGCCTGGTCTACAGAGTGAGTTCCAGGACAGCCAGGGCTACACAGAGAAACCCTGTCTCGAAAAACCAAAAAAACCCCAAACAAACAAATAAACAAAACAAATGGACAAGATAATCAGAGGTCAAGACCCAAGTCTGTGCAGACTAGGCACAGGAAAAACAGCATCATGTTTCTTGTTCAAAGCAAACTGCAAAACACAGGACAGGACAATCTTATCTTGGGCGGTACCATAATTGGGTGCTTCATTTACAACTCCACCACTCTCTAGGTTTGTCTACTTCTGGGTAGATACATGGAAAGACCAGTAAGTCATGTAGAAATTAACCTATTACTATGCTTGTGTCATAGTAAAGTGAGTTCTTTGATAAGATACAATTTGGAATGGAATGTGACAGGCAGGTAGGGTGTCTTGTTTTCATCTTCTCTTTTTGACATGGGGCAATCTTGCTGTACTGCCTAAGGTGATCTCAACATCCTGGGCCCAAGTGATTCTCCTTGCTTAGCATGACCCCCACCACTCAGTAACTGGGAATGTGGGGTATGGTGGGGTGGTATATTTACATCTGGCAAAGGATGTGTAACATCTTAATGACAGGACCACTGATGAGTGATACTGGCAAAGATATGGTGAATAGGAATAACAAGTCTGATCTAGCATCTATTACAGTCAAAAATATCTGCTCACCTAGGGATGCAGAGATGGCTCAGTGGGTAAAGGGCTTGCCTCAAAAGCATGAGGACCTGAATTCAGATCCCTAGAATCCACATAAAGTTGATTCCATAGTGTCTATGATCCCAGCACTCCTTCAGCAAGATGGGAGGTAGAGATAGGAGAGTCCCTGGAAGCTTGTGAGAGAACACAGTACCAGACAAGAGTCTCTGAATCAAAGTTGAATGTGAGGATCAACACTAGAGGTTGTGCCAGCCACTCCTGACCTGGGTTTAATCCCAGCACTCAGAATGCAGAGGCAGACAGATCTTTGTGTATTCCAGGGCTGCCTAGTCTATAGATAGAATTCCAGGATAGTCAGGGCTACACCCAGAAATCTCGTCTCAAAAAACCAAACATCTGACCTCCACATATACACCATGCAGTCATACAAACATGCACACCTCACCTCTCTCTCTCTCTCTCTCTCTCTCTCTCTCTCTCTCTCTCTCTCTCTCACACACACACACACACACACACACACACGCACTGATGTCCTACAAGAAGGTGGCTAGATCTCATTGGAGTATCATTTCAGAGACTTTACATTTGTCATCACCTTTGCTGGGAAGTTGTGCACTTGGCCTGGTAAACTCTGGAAAATGGAAGAACAAGTTGTTGAGCCCAAGTCTGGCTTCTATTCCTGTTCCTATATCTATTGTATTCCTGTGTTGATTTATGAAGCAGTGGGATGATTCCTGAAAAACACTAATACTCATTAAGTGCCTGGTTATTATTTGTCTAATTGACAAGAGCCTCCTCTGAAGATGATAGAAGTCATCAAGGTTAATCAACAAATTATTCCTGAGGGAACTTCAGGCAAATCCTAAAACTGGTTGATCATAAAAATGGAGAACTTAACTGAATCCTAGTTTAGCATAAAATGTACAGTTTAGGGAATTTTTTTGTTGTTGTTTTGTTTTTTGAGACAGGGTTTCTCTGAGTAGCCCTGGCTGTCCTGGAACTCACTCTGTAGACCAGGCTGGCCTCGAACTCAGAAATCCACCTGCCTCGGCCTCCCAAATGCTGGGATTAAAGGCGTGTGCCACCACCACCCGGCCCAGTTTATGGAACTTAAAGTCACATATTTACTTTTAGTTAATATGTAAATTATATCTTACTGTAAAAAAAAATTTTTAAAGCCTTCACTAGCTAAATTAAAAATGGCTTTTATGAGGCTGGAGAGATGGCTCAGAGGTTAGCACTGGCTGTTCTTCCAGAGGTCTGGAGTTCAGTTCCCAGCAACCACATGGTAGCTCACCACCAACTGTAATGGGATCTGACACCTTCTTTGGTGTGTCTGAAGACAGTGACCATGTACATAAAAGTAAAATAACAATAACATTAAAGTAAATCTTTTTCAAAAATTGACTTTTATTTTTAAAAAGCTTGGGAATGGAGTTGTCTATGCCATGTCTCTGCACCCAAATGGATATTATAAAGATGGATCTCCTGTTTCTGTAAATAGGATTTAATGTTAAATGAAGTCAGAGTGATGAGTCCCCAAGACAATAGTTCTGCAGTCTTACAAAAGGGAGGACTAAGACAGACATACAGAAGACATATGGAAATGAGAGCTATCAGTCAAGGAGAGGGCCTTAGAAGAAACCATACTGTGGCTGTTTTCTACACTCTAGAACTGTGAGCAATTAAATTTCTGTTGTTCAAGGAACTCAGTCTATGGTGTTTTGTTGTAGCACTCCCAGCAAATTAATACAGATGATAATGAAACACACTGGATAATTAAAAGTTTAAAAAGATGTAAATCACCAAGGGGAGGATAGAGAAAAGTGCTTCTTTAAAGTAAAATGCCAATTAACAAATGTAGAAGGAGGGATGGAGAGATGGCTCAGTGGTTAAGAGCACTGACTGCTCTTCCAGAGGTCCTGAGTTCAAATCCCAGCAACCACATGGTGGCTCACAACCATCTGTAATAAGATTGGATGCCCTCTTCTGGTGTGTCTGAAGACAGCTACGGTGTACTCATCAATAAATTAAATAAATAAATATTTAAAAAAAACAAATGTAGAAGGAATAATATGAGTAGAAGGTCACCATTCCATAACAGTATTAATTGATCCAAGGTAGAGATGATAGGATGAAAGTAGCTATAATAGTCTGATAGGAAACAGGACATTACTTAGCCTAACAGGCTCACCCCTTAAACTACAAAGCATACAGTAACGACTCCGCAGGAGAGAAACCCAGTAACACTACCGTAACACTACCGTAACACTACCGTAACTTCCTAGTATCAGGGCGTTCTGCTTCAGGTGACTCCTTATGAATGAATGTGAATCACTGCGGTCAAACTGCATCACGTGAAAATCTTGAACAAATCAAACAGAACCAAAGCAAAAAATGTTCCATAAGGCAAATAGCCTGTTCTGAACATTAAAGCCATTGAAGACAAAGCAAGGGCTGGAAAGTGGCTCCGCACCCAGGTTAGACTCCCAGCACCCACACAGAGGCTCACAACCATCTGTGACTCTAGTTCTAGAGACTCCAACGCCCTCTTCTGGTCTCTGTGGACACTATGTACACATGTGATAACAGACCACCCAAACACATAACAGTTAATGGCCTGGCATGATAGTGCTCACCTTTAACCTCAGCACTCGAGAGGCAGAGGCAGGTGGATCTCTTTGAATTCGAGGCCAGACTGCTCTACATAACGGACTCCAGGGCAGTCAGGACTATGTATGGACCCCTTCTCAAAGAAGAAGAAAATAAAAATAGTAATTTAAAAAATTAATTAAAAAGACAAAGCATGATTAGGGGAACTGCGGGATACCAGAGTGTTAGGTGTAGCTCTGGGTGAGAGTCTGGAGCTGACTGTGGAGGCAGGACTAGCAGTTTGGTATTCGTTGTTGAACTTCCTTGTGGTAACTATGTTCAAGTTATGTAAGAGGATAAGGCTGTCACCGCACATCTAGTCTACCAATCAATTGCCTCTGGCTGCAGCCGCCGCCTCCCCTCCCTAACTATTTAGGGACGATTGTTCACACTATCCCTCCCAGCGCTTCGCCCTTGTCCCCCATCTCATCTCCTGAGCTTTTCCCCATTTCCCTTCCCGGGGCCCTCCGCCTCCTGTACAACTGGTTCCTCCTTTTTCTTGCCTGCTGGTCCTCCAGCTATCTGGCACTCTGCCTTCTCCAGCTTTATCCACTTGTGCGTCTCTCTCGCTTCGCCCCTCTAGGTGCACACCCCGTAGCCAGAGCTCCGCTACCCGTGCGCCTTGAGCTCTTGGGAAAACAGGATATCATAGTTGGAGAAACTTCAGCGTTAGCTTTGCGGTGAGCATCGCATCCACGCCCCGCGACCGACACCTGTGTGGGGCTGGGCCAAGTGACTGCGCTTTGCGAGATGGGCTGCTCCAGTAGCGCCCTCAACAAGGCGGGCGACAGCAGCAGGTTCGGCAGCAGCGGAGGTGAGCAAGGGACCTACACTGCACCAACGCAGGGGGATTCTGCGTGCTGGCTGCCCCCAGATCCAGAGGGTGCGGCCCTGGCCCAGCCTTGCCATCGGGGGTTGGGGGGACGCTCCTTCCCGCAGGAGGCGAGAGCAACTGGGAAGGTGTCCCAGACTACCTAGAGCTGCATCATCTGTTGGGACTGAGGTGTGCCCATCCCCGTGCGCCCACCGTGTGTGCCCGCTCAGGACGGCGGAGCCAAGAGCTGAGTGCTGCCTTGCCCGGTGGGAGCGAGGGCTCTTGGTACTAAATTACTAACTAAACTTGCTCCGACGTCCCCCTTCACCATGCAGGTGAGAACTGTCCCATTGAAAGTCCCATTTTGCTCTCATGTGGACCGTTCTGCATCGCCAGATGGCAAAATGCGGGGAACACCGGTGTGCATTCCCTCCATATAATAGGTTCCTCCTGGGGTTTTGAAAGATCACAAACGCTTTCCCCTGGCCTCGATTTATATATTCTTGAGGCATATTGTGTGTAATGAAAGGTGACCATCACTGATTATTGTTAAGAAATTCAGCCAGCACATTTTGATAATCTACTTACTGTACACAGATGCAGAGAGGAACATAAACATGTATAATCATTCTGACAGTGATAAATTCTGTAGGATGAATACAAGCAGATGAGTGAACTAGAGACTGACTGGGTTTTACAGTCAGTAGATTATGGTAGTTCTTAGATTATAAATTGGACGTTGCATTTTGGACGTTGGCATAACATTGAGTGCTTTCCTTCAAGCAGCTTTTAGTCTTCGTCAAAGCACGATGTTTTAGGGGGAATTTTACTTATTTTTTTAAAATACCTTTTCACCAGTGTTACTGCAGAAGCAGAGGTTTTTGGTTGTTTTGTTTTGAGGCAGAGAACACAAAATTATCACTCAAGATATTTCAGAACTTAGCCAATATGTCCTTCTGAGAAATGTGTTGCTGACATTTATTTTGTGCTGTGAGCACCGAGATTTCTACCTTTCGTAGATGAGCAGAAAGTGAGGAAGTAGACAAAAATCAAAGCCTTGTGTGCAAATGATTCAAACCCTTTGTCACTGACGAAATAAAGACATGGAACGTCTATTATAAAGCACAGTGTCTGCTGACCCCACCCAACCTCTACCACGAGTTCAGAGCCCCGAATACCACAGCAAGCTCCATTAAGGCCAATGCGGTTAGAAATTGTTTTCATGTTTCATGTCTCATAAAATCAGACGAATGTTTGTGTTTGTCCATGATAATTCATGAGAATTGATGAGAAACATAAGAAAAAGCGATGTTTTCAGGGTATAGTATCATCACAGTTTCTCTTATCTCCTCTCAGTGGTGTCCTGGCTGAAAAAGCAGAACCCTTGGTTAGAGTGAGCGGAGCCCAGTGGTAGAACACGGAAGCAGTATACCCAAGGTTCAGCACACCTGCTCACACGCACACTCGCACGTCCCAGGGAATGTAACTCCAGGAGTGGCAAATGTATCTAATCAATAGAATGGGGCTTTAATTCTCTCATTTAGAAGGCATTTGATCACCATATTAACAATTCACGTGAGTTACACTCATTTTTTTGATCCTTGATTTCTTTTGTAAGTTTGCATAAATGTTGTTCTTGAAAGAAATGTTAAATACTTGCCAACAAGTTTGAGGATATAGGAAATTGATTTATATGCACCATAAATTGCTTGAAACGTAGACTGAATCGGCCAGCAGGTGTCTTGCCTCCGAGCCTCCGTGGACAATACTGTGGTAATCGAATACTGTTGTCTGCTCAGCAGTTCAACTTTGTGATCTTAGAGGCCTGAGAAATAATTCATTACCCTCTGTACAGCGTAAGATTTCTTTAAATTCTAGATATAACCTAAGTCTGTATATGTGTGCTTTTAGGTTAAAAATAGTCCCCATTTATTAAGAGCCTGTAATATGCATGCATTCACTGCATGCTCCAGTGCCTAACAGTGTTTAGTAATAAGCTCTCGGTGAAAAATGGAAACTTCACACTGGTGAACTGTTCTAGTCGGCAGAAGTGCAAGATCATAAAGGGAATGGCAGTTAGTCTAAAATGGCAGGGGACTGGGAAAGGCTCCCACACTCTCACTTCTTCTGTCCATTACCAAACTATGATGTCAGAAACTTTGCCAGATCCCAATTAGGTTCCGTTGTGAGACCACTCTTAAATCAGATACACCCGCACACCCGTCTACCAAACGACAATGGTGGTACAGGCCTTTAATCCTAGCATTTGAGAGACAGAGACAGGTGGATCTCCGTGCATTGGAGGCCAGTTTGATCTACAGAGTGAGTTCCAGGCTAGCCAGGGAACTCTCCTACACAAAGGAAACTTGTCTTGGGAAAACAAAAACACAAAAATAAACAGATCTACCAAATCTTATTATTTGGGGGTGGCTTTTTTTTTTTTTTTTTTAAAGACAGGGTTTCTCTGTATAGCCCTGGCTGTCCTGGAACTCACTCTGTAGACCAGGCTAGCCTCGAACTCTCGAGGTCAGAGATCCGCCTGCCTCTGCCTCCCAAGTGCTGGGATCAAAGGCGTGTGCCACCACCGCCCGGCTTCTCCAAAGTCTTATAAATGCAGTCCCTTTCACTTGCACTGTGACAGTAGCCTTACTTAAGGTCCCTACTGCTGTGATAAGAGTCATGACGTGGGAAGGGAAGGGTCTGTTTCAGATCACACTTCACTGAGGGAAGTTAGGGTAGAACTCTCGGCAGGAACTTAGAGGCAGGGACTGAAGCAAAGCCACAGAGAGTGCTGCTTATGGGCCTGCTTTTTTATACATCGTCTGCCCAGGGATGGCACTGCCCCCAGTGAACTGAACCTACCCACATCACAATCTTCCCACAGGCTAATCAGTTAGGGGTATTTTCTCAGTTGAGGTTTCTTCATCCCAAATGACACCAGCTTGTGTCAAGTTGTAAAACAAACAAACAAAAAACAAAACCTACCCAGGACAACTGCTAAGAACAAACTACCAGGGCAGTATTTTTCCCTTACTGCAGCTAAACAACAGCAAAATTCAACAGACTATTTGGGCACAGTTTAATGTTTTCAAAATGAGGTAAACTGCCGGGCAGTGGTGGCACACACCTTTAATCCCAGCACTTGGGAGACAGAGGCAGGCAGATTTCTGAGTTCGAGGCCAGCCTGGTCTACAGAGTGAGTTCCAGGACAGCCAGGGCTACACAGAGAAACCCTGTCTCAAAAAACCAAAAAAAAAAAAAAAAAAAAAAAGAGGTAAGTTTATTTTGTTTTCATTTATTTCATCTACATGTGTGTATGTGGACCATGTCCACGGAGCACCCAAGGAGGCCAGAAGATAGCATTTGATCCTGAGGTGGAGTTACAAACAGTTGTGAGCCACCATGTTGGTGCTAGGAACTGAATAAGGGTCTTCTGTAAGAGTAACCAGTGCTCTAAATTGCTGACCTATTCTCCAGTCTCCCTGGGAAGTGTTTTAAAGAAGCCACATTTGACAATATAGGGAAATGCCATCAAATTCTGACCAAGATTTCCTAAGTGCTCAACTTGCACACAGTACACCATACTAGGGACCCTTAAGCCTGGGTTTCGCCTCTAATATTTTAGTTTTCATTGAACACAGTAAATGATACATTTTATTCATACTACCTTGGAGAACGAAACGCTTGTCTCACAGAGACACAGGAGTAGACTGTTGGTTGTGAGTAGCAGGAGTAGACGGAGGGATGGGAAAATGTCAGCCACAGAGTTTGGAGCTGCAGTTATGTAAGACAATGAAGTCCAGAGATACAAACATCATAATGACAAGAGCTGATCTAGGTGATGTCATACATAAAAAAGAAGATGGAGGGTTGAGATGAGTATTTTAAAACATCGTGCTGCTGGTGAGATGGCTCAGTGGGTAAAGCAGCTGCCTGACAGGCCTGTGTCCTATCCCCAGAGCCCATGTAAAGGTAGAAAGAGAGAGCTGAGAGAGCTGAGTATTGTCCTCTGACCTCTATACATGTATGATGCACAGTGAAGCCCACATCAGGAGGCAGGCGTGGTGGTACATGCCTTTAATCCCAGCAGAGGTAGGTGGATCTCTGAGTTTGGGGCTAGCCTAGTCTACAGAGTTCCAGGACAGCCAGAGTGACACAGAGAAACCCTGTATTGAAAAACAGAGAGAAAGAAAAAGAAAGGAGAGAGAGAAAGAGAGAGAGAAAGAGAGAGAGAGAGAGAGAGAGAGAGAGAGAGAGAGAGAGAGAGAGAAAGGAAAGCCTCATCATGGTGTATATTTAAATATAGATAATTAAAACACTCCTTAAAGTTGCTGTTGGTAATTATCTGTTGAATGGGTCACTTAATTTAACCCGGACAACATTGCTGTAACTAAGAATTATGCTTATTTCTACTTTACAGAGACATACAAATAATTTACCACAAGTCAGGGATGCCAAGGCTTCAAGTTGGGCTTCGGACACAGGTTTTTGAGCCAGTTTGTGCTAACTATAATTAAGTGTTTTTGTATCAGATCACTCTGGACCCCATTAGGTATTTGGTCACTCTGGAAACAACAGAAGAAATACACTAAAAAATACTTATTCTCATACCTAAATGTTATGTAAATATTATATAGCATATCATATATTATTTATAAATATGTAATGTATTGCATAAAGATATGTCACACTGTTGCATAAATGTCATATTTACCTATATTACTATTATATAGTCATAATACATTAGTACCTTATTTCTTTGGTTGTTTCCATAGCAAGTGACTATATATTTAATGGGGATTTAGAGTGATTTAATGCATACAACATAAATATATTACAAGTAAAACACCTATTATAATTCCTAAGAATCTGGGAAGTAGAAATATTTGGTGGACATTTTTAATTTTAAAGACTTTTTTCCTTTGTTTTTGGTTTGTCGAGACAGGGTTTCTCTGTGTAGCCCTGGCTGTCCTGGAACTTACTCTGTAGACCAGGCTGGC